TGCAGATAACAGTCAGCTGAAGTGGCCTGCAGTACTGCACCCTAACCACTGCGCCACCTTGGCTCTTGGTCAGTGGAACAGCTGGGCTCCAGAAGTTGCGAATGCCCCAACACTGGAAGTCTTTAAGAAGATGTTGGATAGCCATTTGTCTGAAACGGTATAGGGTTTCCTGCCTAGGCAGGGGGTTGGACTAGAAGACCTCCAAGGTACCTTCCAACTCTGCTATTGTATTGTATTATTGTAATTCTTTTCAAGCACAGTTAAATCTAGTGTGTTATGTGCCAAGACTTTATCAGTTTGCATTCACTAATCCTACAATATATTAACCTGCTCTTCTACTAAGTTTTCAACTGTATGTGCCCACCAAGTTATCATGATTTTAATCAACAACGACAACAACAACAACAGTTTTTCTATTGGTGTGTTCCCAATTTCATTCCTACACTTTACTTGCAATGTATACCAGTTTATACAAAAATGATAACCAAAGAAAGTAAGGTTTGGGTCTGGAGAGGCCAATTATAGATTTCTAAAACAAAACTATATGAAATCATTACATTAAATGTATAATTAAAAATATTAATATGGTTACTGAGCCAAGGATTGTACTGACCACATTTGATATAAACTGGAAATTTTCTTTAAATTTTGTTTTATAAAAAAAAAAACTAAAACATTTTCAAGCCATTTAAGGCTTTTAATATGCCTTTTTTATATTAAACCAAACCAGAACTAAACCAGAGATGTAGACTTCATTACTCTATTTTTTTAAAAAGCAAGTTGATTCATTTGTCTTTAGCCATTTCAGCAAATTATTAAGAGGGAGGGTTGACAGGAGATAGGATATTTGTTTTCAAACAGCTGAAGAGCGAACACACTGCAAAGGATTCAGACTTATTCCCACCTGTGGCTAGGGCAGGGGTTAAATACTCTAAGAGCCATTTGGACCCATTTCCAAGAGAAAAGAAAACACCAGGAGTCACAAAACCCTTCCCATACCTGACTGTTTCCTGAGGGGCCACATAACTAGCATATGTAGTTGAATTAAACATTCTATTTTGTTCTGAAACTTTTCTTTTCTTGGATTTATCCATAGCTGTCCTACGGGGTGTGTGTGTGTGTCGAAAAGCTCAATAAATCGCGTGCTGGCACGTGTCGCACATTGGTGGTTGTCATGCATATTTTGAGCAACAGGGAGCCACAGCAGAGGGATGAAAGAGCCACATGCAGCTCCAGAGCCGTGGGTTGCTGACCTCTGGCCTAGGGCATAAGCCTAGAACGAATGGCATTAAACTTTGAACATATAGAGATTAGATGTTAGAAAGAATTGATGACAGTAAGAGTTGTCCATTAGTGGAAAAGATTACCACATGCTGGCTTCTTCACTGGAGGTTTTCAATCAACTGGATAGTGAATCATGTTAGTGTCTAGTGGACTGGACTTGAACTCTTAGATCTCTTCCAACTGTATGAGTCCAGGATTTGTTTGTTCCATGATCATTTACTGAGTATTTGAGTATTTGAAAATTTATTTATAGGCCGCCCTTTTCCCTGGGGGGACTCAGGGCGGCTTACAACTCATGGGGAGGGGAATACAAAC